TTTCCCCGATCTTTCCCCGACCTTTTCGTGACCTCTCCCCGACCTTTCCCCTATCTTTCCCCGAGCTTTTCCTGACCTTTCCCCGACGTTTCCCCGATCTTTCCCCGACCTTTTCCTGACTTTTGCTCGACCTTTCCCCGACCTTTCCCCGATCTTTTCCTGACCTTTCCCCGACCTTCCCTTCTTTTTTTTTTTCTTTTTTTTTTCCATTTATGTTTGGTTTAGATTTCGCACAAGCATATTGCAAGGAAAATACTTACAAGAAAGAGCTCTAGACAAACTAGCAGACCGCTACATGCTGTACAAGAAAGGAGGGACGAGTTTGGGAAAGAAAGACAAGGCCTCTAATACGCGCTGTCGTCACCACAACGAAAGTGGAATTAAGAAAGATAAACTTTCAGCCCCACGCTCTCTGAAAACCCACTCTTGTTCTCCACGAGAGGCGACGGTGTGCTCGACATACAACAGATTTCGCATCTGCAGCTGGTTTCGAAAACGCAGCATACCAAACATCAACATCAGTACATTGTGATCAATGAACAGAAAAAAAATAAAAAAGATTGAGACGATCGGAGAGAAAAGGTATGAAGAAACACATCCTGTAAGAAGACCACTCACCGAAACTCGTGCCTGTGACAATTGTCCACATCTCCAAAACCTGGGCATACAAATCAGGAGTCGTCTACGCCTTGCAAGATGAAGGTACTGTCTTAGGGCAAAGGAGGGAGAACGGAAAACGACGGGAACAACGAACCTGATAACCTATCAAGCTGAACGAGAGACGGGAAAGCAGATTGAAAGCGAACATACCCAACGATTGTTGGAGGCATTTCCTGTCTGGACAGGGTAATTCTAAACCGGGCGATATTTTTCACTCTTTTCGTAATTCACGAAATAAGACACATTAAAGAAACCTAAAAGCCAGAATAAGAGTCAGTAGCAAAGAAGGGAAACTTGCAAACAGAAACCGAAACGGAAGGAGGTGTTAGGGTTTGAAAAGGAACAAGCATACGTTCCCCGCAGCTCTTCGTTGCATGACTTTGTACAACCCTGCTCCATCCTCAACAATACATCATTCGAAAACACTGGAGCAAAAAAAGGTAACAAAGTTCAATCATCACATTGAACCCTTCTGCCACTTGCTCCAGCCGGCAGAAATGGTTAAAAATCATCCATTCCGTGTTCCTTCAATCGGAACACCACTGGCCGTGCAGAGCCCTGCCCTTCCGTAACCTCTTCTTCTACCTGCCCTGCTCCTCGCCTGTCCGACGCACAATTCCATTCGCTATATTGCATCAATAGACATGCAGCCCTCGACAAAAGCTATACCTCTAACATGCTCTCTCTCTCTCTCTCTCTCTCTCTCTCTCTCTCTCTCTCTCTCTCGCTATCGGTCTGCCTCTCTCTCTCTCTCTCTCTCTCTCTCTCTCTCTCTCTCTCTCTCTCTCTCTCTCTCTCTCTCTCTCTCTCTCTCTCTCTTCGCGCGCTCCTGTTCCCTCCGTAGCCCCCCCCCCCTTCGATCTCGCAAGCCCGCCATTCTGTACGTCGCTCCCCCTGTTTCTCGCGCGACATTCTTCTCCACTTCCGCTTGCCCGCTCTCTTGTCCCTTGTGCGCACCTGAAACGCACATTACGAACAACACACATTCCACATCCATCTCTACTCCATTGTAGCATTAGGTAAGGATACGAGAGGCCTGCGCGCACCCGCCAACATCGATAAGTAACCTCTTCTTCCGCATACCCAATCCACATGCTTGTACAACTAAACTTAACTCCAGTCTACAACAGCGAAGTCACATTCCCCGCTGACATCGAAGTAAAAGCTCGCTCATACTAAAGCTATCTATCTACTTAATGAAAATTCATTTTCACAGCGGAATTTTTAAAATTGAAACATCTTGTCGCTCCCGTCTCTCTCTCTCTCTCTCACACACATACACACACACACACACACATGCACACACACATGACAGAAAGGATCGTGCTAGTGCGCCGGAACTGCCCGTTCGCTACGCACGATGGAAGGGAACGTGCTACTCCACCGAAAGTAGAGAGTGACCGTTTGCCCACACGACGGGCGCGCCTGTGTGTGTGTGTGTGTGTGTGTGTGTGTGTGTGTGTGTGTGTGTGTGTGTGTGTGCGTATGTGTGTGTGTGTGTGTGTGTGTGTGTGTGTGTGTGTGTGTGTGTGTGAGATAGAGAGAGAGAGAGAGAGGGAGGCCGATATATATATATATATATATATCGTCAAATAGAACTGCCCGGTAAACCGTAGGCAGAGAGGGAGAAGAGGACAACAAATGAGGGGCTGTGACAAACTGTTTAGAGAGAGAGAGAGAGAGAGAGAGAGAGAGAGAGAGAGAGAGAGAGAGAAAGAAAGAGAGAGATGTGGTAGATGGGTACTGCAAGGAGCCGACAGAATGATCGACGGAGGAGAGGTAGATAAATGACATAGTGGGGAAGAGGGCACGTGGAAGCGATGACAACGACTCGGACGAGGAAGAGGGCACGTGGAGGAGGAAGAGGGCGACGGTAGGGGGAAGGCGGCAGGAAGAGGAGGAAAAAGCATAATGGGGGAAGACGCATAGGAGGAAGAGGGCAGGTGGAGGAAGAGGGCCGATGGAGGAAGATGGCAAGTGGAGGAGGAAGACGGTGAGGGAGTGGGAAGAGGGGAGGAAGAGAGAGATGGCGGCCGCTTACCCGCACGTTTCGCATCGGGGAGCTCTGGTCTGGGGCAGATGCTGTGGACTGGCTGCGGACTGGAAGCYARGGTCTCCACCTCCACACGACAGCAGTCCGTTTGATTTCGAACGGCTGTACAACGCAATTTTTAACATCGATACATTTTGTCGCTCCCATCTCTCACACACACACACACACACACACACACACGACAGAAAGGATCGTGTCAGTGCGCCAGAGCTGCCCGTTCGCTACGCACGACAGACGAGAGCATGTTAGTCCGCCGAAAGTAGAGAGTGGCCGTTTGCCCACACGACGTGTGTGTGTGTGTGTGTGTGTGTGTGTGTGTGTGTGTGTGTGTGTGTGTGTGNGAGAGAGAGAGAGAGAGAGAGAGAGAGAGAGAGAGAGAGAGAGAGAGAGAGAGAGAGAAAGAGAGAGAGATGTGGTAGATGGGTGCTGCAAGGAGCCGACAGAACGAGCAACAGAGGAGAGGTAGATAAATGACATATTGGGGAAGAGGGCAAGTGGAGGCGATGACAACGACTCGGGCGAGGAAGAGGGCACGTGGAGGAGGAAGGGAAAGAGGGCGACGGCAGGGGGAAGGCGGCAGGAAGAGGAGGAAAAAGCATAATGGGGGAAAACGCATAGGAGGAAGAGGGCAGGTGGAGGAAGAGGGCTGATGGAGGAAGATGGCAAGTGGAGGAGGAAGACGGTGGGGGAATGGGAAAAGGGGAGGAAGAGGGAGATGGCGGCCGCTTACCCGCACGTTGCGCATCGAGGAGTTGTGGTCCGGGGTAGACGCTGTGGACTGGCTGCAGACTGGAAGCCAAGGTCTCCACCTCCACACGACAGTAGTCCGTTCGAATTCGAACGCCTGTGGGTCCCAAACTTCGTGACTCGGACGAGGAAAAGGGTACATGGAGGAGGAAGAGGGCGACGGCAGGGGGAATGCGGCAGGAAGAGGAGGAAAAAACATAATGGGGGAAGACGCATAGGAGGAAGAGGGTAGGTGGAGGAAGAGGGCAGATGGAGGAAGAGGGCAAGTGGAGGAGGAAGACGGTGGGGAAGTGGGAAGAGGGGAGGAAGAGGGAGATGGCGGCCGCTTACCTGCACGTTTCGCATCGAGGAGTTGTGGTCCGGGGCAGACGCTGTGGACTGGCTGCGGACTGGAAGCCAGGGTCTCCAGCTCCACACAACAGTAATCCGTTCGAATTCGAACGGATGTGGGTTCCAAACTTCGCGGTTTCAAAATTCGCACCCATAAGGCACAACAGTCCGAGGCAGACCCTGGACCACAGGCCTTGTGCCAAAGGCTCTACCGGACCCTCTGACGTGGCTGACTGGACTGCAGTTACAAACTCCGCGGTGCGACATTTCCAGCAAGCGGATTTTTGACTGCGTTTTAAACTTCGCGACCGACTAGACTGCAGAAACGGTGTTTCGAATGCATTTTCAAACTAAAACCATGACAGCGCCCTAGTTTTCTCATTATTGATTGATTGGGGTGGGGTCCCCTACCCCAACAAGCCCCCCCTGCCCCCAGCCAATCAATCACTCAATCAATCAATGTCCTGCTTTTTTTTTTCCTTTGACTTTTTTTTTTAAATATTATTGGTTGATTGATTGATTGATGGGGGAGATCCCCCCCCCCCGTACACACACGCACACACACACACACATAGCACAGGGGGGAGGAGGGTTCACGAGGGGTGGATGACCCTCCCCTACCCTAAGTGCGCCGGAGGCGGTTATGGGTTTCGAACCCACACTTTTCTGAATGCCACCTGGGTGCCTAACCAACTGGGCTACCTTGGCAGGCCGCTGGATTCAGTGGGCTGTATCGCGGTAGCCTTTTTTAAATATTTTATATAGGTTTTATCATACCAGCCGGGAAACCGGCCCTCACGAAAGGAAGACGAGTCTTTGGTAGGGTCGAGTCACTCGGGGCAGGTTCAAACGCGGGATCGTTTCCGCCACTGGAATGGCACCTGCCTACAACGATACCAGACCCAACGCCACCCCGGACGACCAAGCCACACACTCCCGCCGCGGACGCGACTGGTGCCGACAGTGCGTGTTTAGGCGGCGCCACAGGGGACTGTGCGATTCCCACGAATCGATGGTCCCTGGAGGGCCGCCATCAATCGCATGGCAGTAGCCAACTACCACGAAAACGCGCAGTGGGACCGAGCGCCGGGATGGCGGCAGATGGTAGTGCTCTTCGCTCGTACCCGAAGAGAACTGGGCAGAACGCATCAACATGTCCTTTCTTCTGGGAGGCGATTTTCTCGTGGGAGGCGTTTTGCGGCCGGTGATTGTACGCGGGAGGCGATTTTCTCGTGGGAGGCGTTTTGCGGCCGGTGATTGTACGCGGGAGGGGCGCTGGCAAGGGTTGTGGGCAACGAAGGGAATGGAATGAACCCTAGCATGGACTGGTGATTTGACCTGTCATGCAGCCGCCGCACGTCGCTGGTCGAATAGCGTGCAGCGGACGAAGGAAGAGGAGAGGGAGAGACATCACCCGCGCCCACTCACAGCGAACGATGGTAGCCATCGCTCCTCTGGATCATTGTCGCCGGCGGCGTCATCGTTCATTACGGCGTGTGTTTAATTCGCTTGTATGGTGGTGACAGGACAAGGAGCTAGACGACGAAGAGAAGGAGGGCGGCGCTGGGCGCCATAACTAGTATCTCGAGGAAAGCACTGGACACTGTGATTGTTGAACAAGATGCCGGCGGAAGTCATGATGAGACCGGACACGCCTCTCTCGCGGCCCATGACGCCGCTGGAGAGGCCTCTCACTCCTCAGTCGAGGCCTATTACGCCTTTTGGAAGGCCGATCACTCCACAGGCGAGATCAGAGAACGGCTCCTTTGACCGACCCATCACTCCGCATGTAAAAGATACTGCAGTGGACGATGGCGTGACTCCCATTCATTTGAACATCGACTGGAGCGCTGTGGATTTCGATGCCATTGAGTTGCCGCCTGGAGAGGACTTCGGGATTATCAGGTGAATATATTCAGGGAACGTCTTAAAGCAAGAGTATGAAGTCCCAACAGAGCGCGTATGTGAAACGTGCGCACACACACACGCACATTCATGCGTTTTTTTTGGAGTTGTGTATGACGAACTTGAGAACAGACACACACACACACACACACACACAGAGAGAGAGAGAGAGAGAGAGAGAGAGAGAGAGAGAGAGAGAGAGAGAGAGAGAGAGAGAGAGAGGATTCCAATCTCGTCCGCGCGTCGGCCGTCCCGTCCCCGCCTCCACCATCTCGTCCCCGTGGCCGCCGTCTCGTCGACTTGGCTTCTATCTCGCCCTCGTGATAGCTGTACCGTCGTTGTGGCAGCCATCCGGTACATTTGTGGCTCACTTCTCCTCCCTTCCTCGTGGCAGCCATCCCCGCCTCGTCGCTGGCATCCCCCGTCTTGGAGACTGCCTTTCGGTTCCTGTGGGCGCCGCCCTACCGGCGTCTTGAACGAAAAGACTACGGTGGCGGGAATAGTAAATGCTTGAATATGATAATAGAGTAAAGTCGACACTCGCTGTCCGGTTTTCATGTCATCCCTTCATGGGCCATTCGTCGTCCCGCTCTCGTATCTACCATCTTAGCCGCCAGCCAATCTGCCGCCGTCGCGATGTCCCACGTCCATTCCTTCGTCATCATTTCGTCATAATTGCCATCATGGTGTCGTCGATTGTATCCCGTCCTCATCGCCGTGATGTTGGCTTACCGTCGCTATCCCTTGCTATTGGTGTGATCATCTTCATCTTGTCCTCAACCCTAATGTGACGTTGCCGTCCGCGTATGTTATTCCCACTCAGCCCGTATTCTCGTCTCCGCCTCCTTTCACCGACAAACATGGCGCACCGCCACTCACGTTCCTTCTCTGATCATCCCTGTCTGTCACTCTCATTTTCGCCTTCCACCAATTGTCCTCGTCCTCATGTCTAGTTTGGCTGCCTATTTTGGCTTGGATGCTCACCCCGTCCTTCTCGCCTCTCCCCCTACTCTGGGATCTCGTGCCCCTTGTTGTTTGCTCTCTGTTCCTCAATCCGTGTGTGACAATCTGGCTGCCTCACTTAATCATCGTTAGACCTAGCATTCCGCGCGTGCGTTCCTGTTTACCTCTTACCATTTGGTCCACCTTTCCTCGGCTCTTTAAATAGGCACTCCCGGTGTACTTCACTCTGGTGTGCAGCGCGGTTCTCTGCCTGTGGTGTTTATGAGGGTTTCGTTTCTAGGGTATGTAAGCACAGATGGGTTTGAGGAAGAGGTACATATGTCATTACCGTTTTTCTTACATGGCTGCTTGCGTGTGTGTATGTGTGTGTGTCTGTGTGTGTGTGTGAGAGAGATTGTGTGTGTGTCGCTGTGTGTGTGTGTGTGTCTGTGTGTGACAGGGTTTTTCTTTTGTGGGGTGTTCCTTGGAGAGTGGAATATCGAACGTGTCAATCTAAATTTTTTCGAGAGTATTAATTTGTACTGTAGTTGTGGCATGGACTCCGGAGTATCCCCTCCTGCACGGGGATTCTTTTCTTTTCTTTCTTTTTTTTTTTAAAACCAAGCTCCATCTATTGGTGGGGAGCAACACCTGCTGGAAACCGGGTCCAGCGTCCCATAGATACAACCATATACTCACAAATTGGCACAAACTGGGAACCTGGCCCAGCGTCCCATAACGAGTACGTTTAACCAGAAATTAGCGTTGTATGCGTTCATGATGCTAACTACAGTACCACCTGTACTTATTCTGTTGGATGTTTACTCAGCGAGGACGAGGAGGAAGAGTTGGAGGAGATTCAAACTGAGACCGGGTTCGGGAGCGTGATTGTTGTGGACAATCTGCCTGTCGTACCTCCGGAGAAGCGCGAGAAGCTCGAAGGAGTTGTGAGGAAAATTTTTGGACAGATTGGCGGAATTAGGGAGAATGGACTCTACATGCCTACGGATCCGGAGACAGGAAAGACCAAAGGGTTTGCGTTTATAGAGTACACAACTCCACTCGTAAGTTGTTCTCTCCATCTCCCTCCTGAAGGTAACCCTGGAGTTGCGTTTTCGTTGGGATAGCGTCGTTTGCTGAAGGATACGTCGCTTGCTTTTTTTTGGGGGTGGGGGTTGGTCGCGGGCTGTGTTTTCCTCTCCTTGGTTTGTCTTCATTTCAGTTGATTCATTCGATTGCATTTGATTTTGATTTGTTATGAACTACTTTGACCTAACTTGATTTTGATTGATCTTCCTTCCCTGATGTGGTTCGGTTTGATTTAGTTGATCTGACTTTATTTTAATTCGATTTGAATTGACGCGAGCCTGCTTGTATTTGACTCCATTTTGATCTAACTTGCTTGTGGGGGGGATTTGGGCGTATATGCTTTCATTTTCCTCTTTTTGCTTTGATTTCATTTGAGTTGATGATTCATTTGATTGCATTCGATCTTTGATGTGATGTGATTCGATTTGAAATGACGTGATCCTGCTCAGATATGGCTCCTTTGATCTTAAGTTGCTTTTGTTTGATCTCATCTGCTTGAGACCTCCACTACTTTTCCAAACTGTAGGCCCATTCAGGAATACGTCGTGTACGCTGCATGCTTCGGGGATCCGGTGCAGGGTCGGACGCCGACTACCTGAAAATGAAAAGAAGGGCGCTGTGGGACCCCCTAGTCGAACCAAAAAAAAAAGAAAGAACGCACTGGCTCAGAATCAATGATGTCGGGGAAGGTCACCGAGGCCATCAATACTTGTACTCGACAGGATGTATCTTGCGAATATTAGGTCGAGATTCAAATGTTGTTGGTTTTATGTTCTTTCTTCTTTACTTTTTGTTCTTAGTGCCCTCCCTGCCAGCGAGGCGGGGCGTGTTCCGCGTGATATCTAAAGGCCACCACTGAGGTCATACTCACATTACTACGTGGGGGAATGTATCCGACCGCTTTCGCGGCCAAATCTGTCCTTTCTTTTGGTTCTCTTCTTTTCTGAATCTGACGGCATTGCTGAAACGCCCTCACTGAGGGCATGCTCACACTTTTTCTTACAGAATGTAAATGTATCTAACCTCTTTCACGGTCCGAAGCTTTGCTACTCCTCTCCCCCCCCCCCCCCCCCTCCCCCTCCCTTTCTATCGTGAATCTTACCGCAGGGACGATGAAAAATCGAACGTTACCCTTCACACTCAAGGCCCGGCAGAAAACGGTGCACAGTGTGATTCAGGGTCGGCAAAAAGAGGCTCGAGGGTGGTGGTCGGTTAATTGGATTTTTTTTCGAGGGGGCGGTTTTGACTCCACAGTGACTTCTCCCTTCGCCGCCCTCCGGTCCAACACGTGCTATGAACGTGAAGTGCGGATGTACTTTTTATTCTGTCAGTGAAAGGGGTGGGAGGGGCATCACTTTTAGTTGGGGGGAAGGGTCTGTGGTTTGGTAGACGCTCCCGTCCTTGGGGTCTTGATGGGCAGGTATTCCCCTCTTACGAGGACAATCAATGTTGGTCGTCACTGAATGAAGTGTTCAACATTGGCTCCTGCTTTGTAATTGGGACGCTAGATCCGATTTCCAGCTTTTGCAGGTCCCTATCAATGAATTGCAGCCATCTGTTACTGGGGGGGACCCTATTCGAGGAGGATGCTCCTGTCACCTCCAGTAACAGGCCTCTCACAGTGTTAGAAAAGAAAAAGAGAAGAACGAGGAGTCTGGGTCGAGGCGGGGACTAGTCCTGTTGGATGCGATGTGATGTTTTGAGAGCACTGAACGTCATTCACTCTCACAATGTTTTAATTTTTTTGTTTTTTCTTATGTACTTATGCGTGGCTTGTGTCGTTGACGCCGGTTATCTTGACATGTGTTCATCGTGAGTCGTCCTCTTTATTCCTTACCGATGTAAAATATGAACCCGCAGTGGTACGGGATGTGACGGCGAGGTTCTCGTACCCGGGGGAGAGAGAACCGATCTCTTTGTGGCGTGTTTACAGGATCGCGCGCGTGTGGAGAGAGAGAGGGAGAGGGAGAGAGGCAGAGAAAGAACCTTTTTCTGTAGATGTTTATGAAGGGGTGCGCATGTATGAGTGGGCGCGCGAGAGAGAGTAAGAGAGGGAGAGGGAAGGGCGGAGAGAGAGAGAGAGAGAGAGATGTCTCTGTAGATGTTATGGAGTGGGCGTGTATGTGTGCGAGTGTGTGTGCGTGTGTGTGTGTGAGAGAGAGAGAGAGTCCGTTCATGACAAATGAGGCCCCTTAGACGAAGGCAGTATGGATTGGAGAAATCGAAACGATGACATGATGCTCTTTCTGGTTTGTTGCAGGAGGCGCAAACTGCACGGGAGCAAACGAACGGTTACAAGCTGGACAAGAGCCACGTGTTTGCTGTCCAAATGTTCGACGACTTCGAAAAGTATGCGAAGGTTCCGGATGAGTACGTGCCGCCGGAACTGAAGGAGTATACCCCGAAGGTTAGTCGATTCAACCATTGGTCAACTCCATCATCAAGTACTTCTGGAATTTAAGAAAGCAGCAGCAATCCTCTGAAGAAGCCAATGTGCCGTTATTTCTCTAATAGCTTTCATCCTTGCATTCGTTCACAACGCTCTTAACGACAAAGAGAATCTTCTTCAGGTGATCGGTGTAATTTTTTCGAATTTATGCTTAAGACATGCAAGTCGAACGTTGTTACTCAGTTGAAAACGAAGTGGCGAACGGGTTGGGTTCATAACGCGTGGGATTCCTCCCAAACAGTTCAATAGAAATCCCAGACGGTCGAGAGAGTTAATTTAGCGTGAGATCACCCCTCAGACCAAGATGATGGCGATTACAGTTGCTCACTGATCCATTGTCTACATACTTTCACAAGCTTTCTTTAGCGAGTGGCCTTTATAAATGGAAGCCATATTTCATCATATCTGCAGTGTCGCCAGCTTGGGCTTGTTTTATTCAGTCTCGGCGGAGTTCAATTTCCGCCGCTAACAAATGAGCCGTATGCTGGTATTAGATTTGGACAAGCAAATATGGAAATAATACGGTAATTTTTTGCTGTTCAAACTCGTTACCAGTCGGTCCATTGTGTCACTTGATCGGCTTCGCGCAGAGGGCAACAGCAGCAATCACCAACGGCAAAGTGTCGTTGGTGATTTTGTACCCTTTCCTTCGATAGGGCAACAGCAGCAATCGCCAATGGCAAAGTGTCGTTGGTGATTTGGTACCATTTCCTTCGATGTGGTTGCATTGCAGTGTTGTTAAGTAATATATGCGTTTCACAGAAGTCTTGTCACTGTAGATGGGAAATCAATATGGTCATGCATATCAGCACGGGAGTCGGACCGAGATTCCTTGTCTTTCGCTTGCCTTCCTTGTTTTTTGGTAATTTTCGTGTGTGTTTTGTGAACTCTGGCCCTGAAAGAAGCCTGTGTGCCAAATTTCTTTTTTGCATCACGGGATCGACAGAATTTCCTCAGTTATGCCCTTCGTGTACAGGCAGCGAGAAGAGCCCGAAGCACTGTGTTTTTTGAAAGTAGAGGAATAATCCGGAGTGAGGGGTTGAGCATTTGGGAACGAGATCGAGAGCTTCCCGGTGAGATTTGGGTTCTACGTTTGCCGGCCAAAAGCACACGTAACGCATCTATTCTGAGGGGCGATCTTCCTTGTGACATTTGGCTCTACGTTTGCAAAAGCCAAAAGCACACTTACGGCCGTTTCTTTCATTCTGGGGAGCGGTTATAAAAAAAGGAGCAGACGGTTAGCGTCTTGAATCCCACGGAGGCGCTTTCGCGCGCGTAAGAATCTGAGTGTCTCTTTGTATACCGCTAAGTAGTAGATCAGAAGACTTAAAACCGAAAGGCTTCCGAAAAGGGAATGCCACAACTATGTTTTGGATATGTGCACTTCTCTTTTTTTTTCACACAAAAGAAATCAATTCATTGCAGAAGAAGGCAGGTGTGCAGGCGTTGTGGGTGGGTGGGGTCTTTTTCTTTCCCAGGGTTGGGTGCGTCAGTGCAGGGTCCTAGAGTTGGCGTTTTCTGATACTGGACAGATATAGATAAACCACTGACCGTAGCTAAGGTGGGTAATGGTCCCATCCCAGCAATTTTCCGGGTTGTTTGTTGAGCAATTCCCGGCCTCGCCTCCCTTTTTGTGGGTAATGGTCCCATCCCAGCAATTTTCCGGGTTGTTTGTTGAGCAATTCCCGGCCTCGCCTCCCTTTTTTCTCCCGATGATCTGCTACTGTATAGATGGATAAATCACCGCATGTAGCGAAGGTGAGTGATGGTCCCATCACAGTATCTTTTCGGGTTTTTGTATTGAGCAATTCCCGGCCTAACCTCCCTTTTTTTCCGATGATATATGCACTTTTCTCAAAGTGGAACTTAAATCCAGACGAAATAAAAGCCAAAAAAGTATCTATCTTCCATCCATATGTCGTTACCAGCGTCTGCTCACAATCCGAAAATCTGGGTCGGGGTATCTTTGAACGGAACGCGATGAATGCCTTCCGCCGCCACTCCATCCCAAGCTCAGGACCCACTCCCCTTTGGTAAGTTATTGCTAGATCTGGCAAGCATCTCCGGCGGCACATCCAGAGGATGAAGTAGTCTGTATTTGGACCACTTCATAACAGTGAACCGGCAGCGATGGTTATGCAGCATCCACTTCATAACAGTGAACCGGCAGCGATGGTTATGCAGCATCCACTTCATAACAGTGAACCGGCAGCGATGGTTATGCAGCTTCCACTTCATAACAGTGAACCGGCAGCGATGGTTATATGATGGACCTCGTCTTGGGAGACTTCTGCAGACTTGGTTGAGAAGGCCACTGCGCACCTCATGCTGAGATCCAAAGACTGTTGAAACAGATGTACACAGCGGTTTTCAGACCGAGTTGGGGTATAGGGCTTGATGAACTCTGTCTACCAGCTTCTATCACTGCAATGATCTTTTTTTTTTTTTTTTTTAATAACTGTTTGTATAATAGAATTCTGGAAACACCAAAGCACCAGTGCAATTGCGGGCCCATCACAGGTGGCGTGCTATTCTTTCGCCTTTTGCGAAAGGAATACCGTGGGGTGAGTACATTTAATAAATGGAATTCTCGAATTCTCCTTGCGTTGTTTGTCAAAAAGAAAAACAGAAAAGAACAAGAAAGAAGAAGAGAAAAGAAAAAGGTTTTGAAACACCACGAATGATTGGCTGAATGATTGAATGTACGGAAAACGTTTGATGCATGCGAACTAGGGTAGTTCGCTCTATACTACGTACGATGTAAACCATCGTCGTGACCTCCGTCGTACTTCGACAGCCATGAACTCAAGCCTGATTCTCGTGGGCTGGCATAATATAATAACTCCTATAATGACAGTTTGGTTCAACTGATTGGTTGGGTCATTGCAGGAGAATCTTTATGCGTGGTTGATGGATAAGCGTGGGAGGGACCAGTTCGTCATCAGGTTCAATGACCACACGGAAGTCTACTGGAATGATCCGCGCCAAGGGAAGCCGGAGCCTGTCTACCAGAGATCTGTAAGTCGTGTGACCATCCAGCCTTTCCCTTTTTTGTTAAACAAAGCTATAGCTATATTCTTCTCTCAATTTCACCTTTCACTACCTACCTACCTACCTACCACTACTACACAGCCTATGCAGGGGCATCCTGCAAAGCATAGCCACTACTACTCAGCCTATGCAGGGGACCCCTGCATTGGGCCTGCAAAGCATAGCTATGCCTCCCGCCCTAGTTGGCGGTGGTCAGGGAGTAGGGTGGGCCCGCCCGCCCGTTGGGGGGGATTTTACCATCCACAAAGCTGCGCCCTTCAAGCCTTTTCGTTGCGTGTGAAGTCCTAGTCGAGTACAAGCTTGTCCTGAGATTCTGGTCCGTTTGCAAAAGATCTGGCGACGTTTGATAGTGTTGTCTCTGTCATCAAATGGGAGTGTTCTGTGCCATGGTTTGGTTTAGGGTTTTTGAGACTCGAAAGTTAACCTGTGTGCAGTCGAGTGTAGGCGTTCGGAGCGCTGTTGAAGTGATGGCTCCGTTATTGTGTTCTGTCTGTGTGCAGCACGTTCTGCAATATGAGACGTGTTTGATGTGTCTGTGCACCCAAGTTCTTTTGCCTGTTCCGTTGCTACCCCTCCCTTGTGATACTTACCAGACGATTTAAAACACCACTCCAAGTGCTCTGTTCAGTAGCGGATATATTCAGAGAGGAACGCGGGTGCAACCTGTGTAGTAGTAGTAAAGAGAAAAAGAGGAGGCTTGCCTGCATTGTTTGTGAGCGGCCATAGATGGCCTCCTGTACAAGGAGAACAATTCGGATACTTGTTGCAGTTGCCCTCCCGATACCATTTTTGGATTCGATTCGCATATGTTTGACTCATGTGCGACGCGGGTCTGTGCAAAACTAGTGTGATTGTGTGAACGCGTGGTTGTCTTATGTCATGCCAAACGTGAGATGCACGTGAATAAAAATCTTGGGATCTAATAGCAGAGGGTATGAATGCGTTAGGCATGAGGGAATAATAAATGTGGTGACTGCATGTTGGACTGCCCTTTGGTGTTTCTGTTTCCGCACTGTGTGGCGTGATGTTGTGTGATTCGGTTCCGGTTGAGGAGAGAGGGAAAAAGGCTTTTCTTGTGTTCACCTGCTGCTTCGGACTCTTCGGTCGTGGGTAGGTGGTATGTCAGGTGGTCTGCGATTTTCTTCAAAGCAGTTCTATCTGGCAGTCTATGTTTTCTTGATGTTGGACAAGTGCAGAAGGTTCCATTGTGTGGTGCGTGTTCATAGCCTGTCGCTGATAATGACAAAAGAGCAAAGACGGAACGATTGTGGGTCCTTCGGTTCAGAAGCGCTAGGAGGAATTGGTGCCCCTCAGCCTGCGAAGTGGTGGCATGTTACTTGTTCACTGGCTGTAGTTTTCCGGTGTCTCTATTATAGTGTTCGTTGTTCATTGTTGGATGCTCTCTTTTCTTTTCACAAAAAAAGGATGCTCTCTTTTCTTTTCACAAAAAAAGGATGCTCTCTTTTCTTTTCACAAAAAAAGACTGCTCATTGTATTGCACATGAAAGGGGCAGGCCTGGAATCCGTCCAAAATCTGGGACTATTATCCAGCTTAGGAGCAGGCGTTGGGGAAACTCCGGGAACAGGCCTCCCCTTTGCGTGTGCAATATTTGGCCAACACAAAGACCACCGTCCTGACAAGTTTATGAGCCTGTGGTGCGTTGCACAGCTCAAAATAACACTGAGGGACTCGTACGGCCTCTTTTTTTCCTTTTTTTTCCGTACGGCTTTTATCTAAACTATAAGGAGGTCGAGAAAGAGCGATTGCTTGTTCGTCTGGAAACCAAGCAATCACTTTTTCTCGACGTCCTTAGTTAAGATCAAGGCCAAGCGAGTCCCTCAGTGTTCTTTTGCTATGCTCTACGCAACACAGGTTCATGAGCTTTTAGAGCAATGAATACCTCGCTGTTCTTGTGCTGTGACATGCTGGATTTCCGTAAGTGCCGCCGGCTGAAGCTTGATTGAAACTCTGCTGCTTCAGGCAACCTAACGGTCGCCCAAGTACTTGTTCACCACAAACTCATAAGCTTCCACAGACATACCTCACTGTTCTTCTGCTGTGCTTTGTGCCACGAGCTCCCAAAAAAACTTTCACCGAAGTTCATAACCGGATGGTATAACCAACTTTGCCACCTTCGTTGTCTATGTCGTTTATTCTCCGTTCGGTATCATTTGACTGTGCTTTTGCTGTGTTACGTGACACGAGCTTGTAAACTTTTGCTGAAAAAATAATAACCTGAGGATGGATCTGCATGTCTTTCCTATGTTGCTGACTGGCTTTCTGTGGCGGTGCCTATGTTGTTGTGGTTGGTTCTAGTTCTGGACGGAAAACTTTGTGCAATGGTCGCCGATGGGGACCTTCATCGCCACCAACCATAGGCAAGGGGCTCAAATCTGGGGTGGGCCAAGCTGGGAGAGGCGTGAAAAATTTCACCATCCACAGGTTAGTATGATATCATTCGAAAAGACGATGGCTATGGATCCCCTCGACTTTTTGTCCAAACTACTGTCACGTCTTTGGAGTTGTCCTCAGCGACCTAGAACTTAACAAAACAATACAAACGACGACTGCAGAAAAGGTGGAGGGAAGTGACAGAGAAATGTTGTACATACATTGCGAGACAGACAACGTTTTCCTCGAGGTGCAGTCAAATTCATGACCAAATTCGAAGAAAAGGAAAACGATGATGGAAATATTATTTATGGCAGAGATATTCTGTTTTCCGATATTTTTAGAACTACGGCTTTTCCCAACAAAATCCGGAAAAGACGAAATGTTGCGTACGGCATTGCAATACAAACAACGTTTGCCTGAGGGTGTTGTTGTCGATTTCCTTAGCCAAGTTCAGGGAAGTACAAACGACAAGTGGACCTCAGGACCGGTACCAGGCTCCCGAAAAGTTGTGCATCGAAACTTGTTGCATAGCATATGTACGTTGTTTCAAATATGATGTACATAACTTACACAACAAACATCGATGCATTCGGATACAACGTACATAACTTATACAACAAGTTTCAATCATAACTTATGTACGTTGTATTTGAATGCATTGGCACTTGTACCTCGAAACTTGTTGTATGAGTTATGTACGTTGTATCCGAATGCATTATAACGCTTACTTTGCATTCTTATACAGGGCATGCATGTTTCTTTCGGGGTTAAGGAACTGTTGAGGTGGACCCTGAAAGCTGGTACGGGTGGCTGCCACAAGGTAGTCGACTGGAGGGCATACCATGAGGAAGGGGTCTTCGTAGGGTCTGAGTGGCCAGCGCAGAACTTTGCGGATAAGGTCTTTGTGGGGTCGGAATGGCAAGGCACATAATTTTGCAAATGGGTGTTTGGCGGTTGATGATTGCTTGTGTTTTGCTCAGCTCTGTTCTGCATTGTGTTGGACTTGCTGCTGATGTTGATGACGAAGGTATGCCCGTCCTGTGGCAGGAAGTTGGGGGTTGCTGCAAGACATGGTGCAGGTGCAGCATATGTGCAGGACAAAAGATAGCTTGACGTGGCCGGAAATGGTATTTGTCTTTCTGTTTTCCTGCTTTTGGTAGTGGCGATTATCAGGTTGATTACAACCACGTGTGTGCGATTTGCATTGCAATGGAATGTGCATCTTTGCAAGGGAACATGTCGACTGATTGGTTGCCTGATGTTGGGAAGTAGCATGACTTTGTTACCGTTCTTTTCTTTGCTCGGTCCTCCATCCGTTCAATTTTGCAGGTTGCGCTTTTGGACTTCTCTCCTGGTGAGCGTTTCTTGGTCACATATAGCACTCATGAGCCGAGCAATCCTCGTGATACTCAGGTATGAGGTGAATCTTGTCCTTTGGACAGCAGGGTTGATACTTGATACCCGCGGTCGGGGGCTGGGTGAGGGAGTGGATGGGAGGGGGGCGGGCAGAGCGTTTGGGTGTGATATTGCTATTCAGCCGTCTACACATTTCATTGTCTAAGTGTACAGGGAATCAGTGAACATTCTCTGAAAACGTACTAGCAAAAGTGGAAAGGGGGAGAATTGTCTCCTCATGCACTACATCTCACACCTCTATGAAAGATGCAGGCCATTGCATTGTGTTACTTGGGACCTCAGCGGGAAGTTGACTGCATCATGCAGCAGCAGAAGACAGGCATCTCTTTCGTGACTTTGCATTTCTTGTGGATGCAACTTAGCCCTGGTACAAATGGATTTCTGCTGGATTCCTCGATAGGGCGAGTCTGTGGTACCATTCGGTGCACGTCCGCATGTCCAAACATAACATCGTTCAGACTGGGAGGTTTCAGACATGATGCACGCATGACTTTGATGTGGGACCGGTTTGCAATGTCCGGATGCCCTCACCATGTCCTCTTATATGTGGTGAATGTGCCCTACCTAATGCACATCTGCCCTGGTTTCTTCTCTTGCGTACAGAGATTTGTGGGTGCATGTGCGGACATTCCACTGTGTTTGGTGTTATGGTGTTATTGATTTGAACTGGTTTATGAAATTGTCTCACATGGAATGGGTTTCGTCGAATGACATAATTCTGACTAGTTCTCCTTGCTTATGTTATGGTTCTGAATCCTGCAGAAGGTCCTCCTCAACGTCTTTGACATAAGGAGCGGCAAGTCTCTGCGACAGTTCCAGGGGAGTGCTGATGACTTTGCGACTGCAGCAGGAGGAAGTCTTGGAGGTGTTCCATGGCCTGTGTTCAAGTAAGCAGCAGGTCCCCAATGCCTGGCAATGTTGTTTAAGTTCTACCAGTATGCTCAGGGATGTGACTGGCAATGTTGTTAGAGTTCTACCATTATGCTCACGGATGTGAAATGCTGGTGTCAACGTATGATGTTTTTTTGGCCTCTGGTATGGGGCAGGGATGACGGAGGTGGAGGGGAAAGAATGTGAGCAAGAGCCGGATGCCTGGGACCCAAGCAGTCACATAAATATATGTATGTGACTACATATATATGTATGCTTGTGATGGGGTGTGAACCGACAGTCTGTAGAGTTTTCCATCTGGTGCGGGTGAGTGATAGTCTGCTTTGAATTTTGCCACAGGTACCTTGAGGGCAGTGGCTGGTGCACACCTCAGGGTATCAGTTGTCGGGCAGTCGTTGATGCTTAACCACAGCCGGGGTTAAGGTGGATTATCACTTACAGTGTAATTAGTTAGGGGATTCTGCAGACTGTTGAGGGTTCAGCCTCCTGATGAGTCGGTGAAACTCCGAAACAGTTTGCCACAGCCCCTCGTTTGTTGTCCTCTTCTCCCTCTCTGCCTACTGTTTACCGGGCAGTTCTGTTTGACTAGAGAGAGAGAGAGAGAGAGGCGATTGGCTTCATCCAGGAGTGGGCAAGCATGGCCGTACAAATCGTGGAAGATGTGTTGCATGTCACGAGCTCTGGAAATTCTTTGTGAAGCTATAAGGAAGATCAGATCCATCGGCATGGTGTGTGGTGTTGACTGTTCGGATCAATCTGCATTGGGCGAATTTATCTGACAGTAATCTTTCTGTGCAGGTGGGCAGGCGGCAGAGAAGACAAGTTTTTTGCGAGGCTGGGAAGAAATGCGATCAGTGTTTACGAAACAGAAACAATGAGCTTGATTGACAAGAAATCCATCAAAGTGGACAACATTGCAGACTTCCAGTGGTCGCCAAGTGATCCGATTTTGTCCATGTTTATTCCAGAGGGTGGTGGTGGCAACCAACCTGCCAGGGTACGAAAGCTGCTGGCCCTTCTTTTCAAATTGCTATGGTTTTTGGAAGTGTGCGTTTTCTTGTTGGCGAAGCCTTGTGAAGGGTGTGGTTTTGTTTTAAAGCTGGACAGTGTAGATATGATTGATTCAAGAAGTCCTTCGCCGCACGGCAGATTAGCACCGCACTGCAGATGTACAGGTCCTGTGTCTCAGGTGTGACTGTTAGGGATGGAGCAACGAGTTCTTTTCGCTTTGTGAAATGTGTCCGTTACCCCCTAAATGTAGGAACGCTCGCTCATCGCGATCCAGTTCTAGCTGGCAGTGACAAGGTTGGTTCTATGGCGAGGTTGCCACGGTAGGTGGTTATGTTTTCCACTCTGTTTGACACCGGTTTTTGCATTGTTTTTTGCTCCATCGCTTTCCTGCTGGATGGTGCACAGGTTACACTGATGGCTATTCCATCAAAGGAGGAACTTCGTCAAAAGAACCTGTTCAGCGTAAGCGACTGCAAGATGTTCTGGCAGACAAGTGGAGAGTACCTTGCTGTGAAGGTTGATCGCTATACGAAGACGAAGAAGAGTACCTACAGTGGATTTGAGTTGTTTAGGATAAAGGAGAGGGACATCCCGATCGAGGTGAGTTGCCTGGGGAGGGTATAAATCAAAATGTCCTTGTATGTATGGAAACTTTTTTCTGTGAACTCATGGAGAATGGTGTCCGTTTTATGGGAAAAGGGAGGGAATCAGATTTTGAAGTGGCCGTAGTTCGGTTCTCTGGTATGGACATCATTGCAGTGCGTTATGTGTAGAATTCGGTTCTTTGGTATGGACATCTTAGCAGTGCGTCATGTGTCGAATTTGTAAACGTTGTACCGATGGGCGTGTAGCTCAGTTGGTGCACCCATGAACTGTTGAAATGCAGACCGGAAGACCAGAACAAAACTCTTCTCAATTGCCTGGGACTGGTCGGTTCGATGATGATATCTCAAGGCCATTGTCCTGTTAGAAAAGAGAGAAAAAAAAGAAAGTTTGTAGGCGTTGCACCTTGGATGGTAGTCTGGTGATGATTGCTGAATGGATTCGTTTGGGCTGGTTGTAATTATGTATTTTCTGATTTGCGAAAGATGTTCTTCGATGGTGATGGTACAGGTTCTTGAACTCGAGAATAAGAACGACAAGATCATTGCCTTTGCATGGGAGCCGAAGGGTCATCGATTTGCCATTGTTCATGGAGATGGTCCGCGACCGGACGTCAGTTTCTATTCCATGAAGAGTCCAAAGAACACGGGAAGAGTTACGCTTCTGACAACCCTGAAGAACCGACAAGTGAATACCCTGTACTGGTCGCCACAAGGAAAATTCATTGTGCTGGCAGGATTGAAGGCGCACAATGGTCAGCTCGAGTTTTTCAATGTGGATGAGGTCGAGACCATGGCCACAGCGGAGCATTTTATGGCCACAGAAGTCGAGTGGGATCCGACTGGAAGGTTTGTTTCTTCAACTCCTCTACTAAATGCACGGTATCTGCGAACGGCCACTCGAACCATTTCTCAATCTACACGTGGCATCCTTGCACAGGGGCGATGCTAATCTTCTCTGCATAGTTCCAATTTCAATGGATGTCCTAGTAAAGGACACCATTTGTACTTTTCTTGTCAACTGCACAACTCATCTTTTCTCTTGTGTTCCTCTCTGATTAGTTCTCGGCCGGGCCAGGCCAGGTAGCATTGATGATGGCCATATATGAGTTGTGCTTGCGCAGCAGGCTTCTGGACTTGTCAGGGCACTGTAGTAGAACATGGACTGCATACCAAGTGAATCTCTTCGGAGTTTCGCTGCATTTTAGTAGAACATGGAGTTGCGCATGGAGCTTTTTTTTTACGGGGCTTGCACACGCTAGCAGTTGATTTGTTGAAACTGCATGGCCAGATACGTCCCTTCTAATCCCAGGTGTGCATATCTCCTCAGGGAGGAGCATGGAATTAAGGAGAACATCTGGTAGATTGCAAGTGCAGCGGTATGCAATTGAAATAAGGCACCATCAAGTGGTGTAGTGAGTGTTTGCTGTATGCATTTGCTTTGTCAATGTGGTGTTGATACTTTGAGAAGCTGTATTGGTGTTTCATTGGAATGAAAGGAATTAGTGTCTTGTTGAAAGGCGGTTATTGGGACGGAGGGTTCCTGTATTATTGTGTTGGGTAGGTGGGGGTAGATGTGTGCAGGACAGGGATCATCCTCTCCTTTCATCGTATGTATGTAGGTTGGTTGTTGTAGGGTATTCCATGTGGAGCTTGTCTTTTTGTTCTTTTCTCTGTATTCGACTTGTGGGCATGTTTATGATATGTGGGTGTGGATGTGTTGCATGTTCGGCCATCTCTGCAGGTTTGTTGCCACGTGCGTAACTTCTGTCCACCAGATGGAAAATGGATTCAACATCTGGTCATTCCATGGAAATCTCCTTTACCGACTGCCTCGCGACAAGTTCTACCAGGTTGGTACATTTCCCCCCTTGCCTTTGGGTCCTTGTTGCCATCCGATAACATTCATGCATCTCTGGAGAAGGAATATGTCTGCCTTGGGTCTTTGTTGCCATCTGATAACGTTTGTGTATATCTGGAGAAGGAAAATATCTGCTTGTGTGTACAATATTGAGCCATAATGGCGACTTCAGGGCAAATATGTGAGTATCAATTGTCCGTAGTTTTTTTTACTTCTTCTTTTTTTTAACGAAATGGAACTCCCAAAATGGTGGAGCTGGGAGTACCGGGACACACATCCAAGCTGCGATTGCTCTCAGCTATATGCATATACTAACAGTCCCATCCACTCTTTTCTCTTTTGTTACTTGGTAATGATACCCGATTTTTCTGTGAACTGGAAATTTGTAGTTCCCATGAAAGTGAAGTAGGGTCAGATGCCTCTACCTCAAACTGAGTTGCTTCTGCTACTATAACGGAGAACGTTTGATTGCGGTTCTGACTGCCACATGTTGTCAATTTTGTGCTGAGGCTGCCGGCTCACCTGTGCAAATGATTTTGATGTGGCTGTGAAACACAGTTCCGTTGGCGTCCAAGACCCCCGTCGCTTCTCAGCGCGGAGAAGGAGGCGGAGATCGCGAAGAACCTGAAGAAGTACAGCAAGAAGTATGATGAGGAGGATGAGCTCATCACGGCAGAGCAAAACACGACTCTGAAGGAGGAGAGACGTGCAATGATTGATCAATGGACGGAGTGGAAGACGAACTGGAAGCGGTGTAACGAGGACGAGAAGGTGCTGCGTTTAGCTCTTCGTGGTGACGACAGCGAGGACGAGGAGGAATTCGAGCAGGAGGAGGTGGAGGTGGAGGAGATCATAGATATCCAGGAAGAAGTGATAACGTCCTTTTAAAATCAGTCTCCGTGATGACATTGCTGAAGCAGGGTCAGGTGGTGCTTTTGATTCTCTGCATGCTGATGTGAACTCAATGGTCGCAGCCCAGAACTTTGGGGGGGCGGGGAGAGAGAGCTAGAGCGAGCGAGCGAGCGAGCGAGAGAGAGAGAGAGAGAGAGAGAGAGCACTTTCTAAGGATCTGGTTAGCTGTAATGGCATGGCAGTCTGGTTTTCACTTGAGCATGGAAGTGGACGGCTGAGTTGTGTGATCATATTATTAGACAGTTTCTGTGCTGTTTTGAACCTGGGAACTAAAGCATAAGAGCTGCTTTTCCTCAGTGTTGGGAGGAAGTGGCAGCTGGTCCAGATCTTTCAATGTGATTGCCTTTGCTCATCTGAACTGCTGTTATACGTAGGGAAGGTCTGTGTTTTTCAGATTACGAGCTGGTCGTCTTTCAGAGTGTCCGGAAGACTGAAGCGGAGTGCATGCCATGTACAACCTGAGCGGATGCGTTTCACTTCCTTCCTCAAATGACTTTTACAATTTGCCTTGTTAAAATTTTTATGAGCTTGCTGAGTTTTTGCCGCTACTTGTGGAGTCGGTGCTGCTTTGGCGTCAAGGATGAAGGTTGAGATGGAGATTTGTTCCACTCGCTTTGGTGGGACTCGATTGCTGCAGTATCGTCGAGACAGAGTGGGTTTGTCATACAAAGAAAATGAAGTGTGGCGGACCTTGAGATTGGTTGGAACTTGTAATACAAAGAAGTTGGGGTGTTGGACCTTGAGATTGAAGGCTCTGGAGTCTGCGCTGAGTTTTTGGGAAGAACATTGAGGGTGTTTGATCATGAAGCATGCTGGGTGTTGTGGGATAATTTGGCTTTTCAGTTTTGACAGTCCGCATTCCCAGGCAAACATAATTGGAGTCATCGAACACATCACACACTTTGTTGGGAGTTTTACGACTCTTCACACGGAATTGGAAATACGTGCTTTGTACTAACACTACAACGAAGCAACATACACCTGAGTGTCGGAGCTTTCTGATTGCTAATTGATTACTTGGTAGTTGATATGGGCTTGCTGCAGTGAGAATTTGCTGCTCCCGTCTTTTGTGAACCAAGCTATGTTCTTCTGTCAAACAAAACGAACTGATCAAAGGTATGAAAAACCGGCTGCCTGTTTTTTGTCGCTTCCATATGGAAGCTGGAGCTCTTGGATGCTGCTGCATACGATTGGCTCGTCCCTCATTACATGTGGGCCAGAGCGTATGGAGCTAATGGATTGACTGGAACTCTAGGCTAAGCTGAAACAGTAAAGGCGACGAGTTCATCCTAACAGAGACTATAAAATGAAGGGCAGCAAAGAGCCTGAAAAACGGACATTTTGTAGGCTCTGGGTACAAAGCCTCTTGTCGGAGTCCAAAATCTGCTCTGCCTGAGTTGGAATTGCTTGGAGAAAAGGTTTCAGACGTGTAAAACTTGGCTAAGTGGAAGATTAAAATCTGAAGTTTTATGTTAAGCCGGGTATCAAAGTGCATTGCAATGTCGCTTTATGATGGAAGTGGGAGGGTGGTGGTGGAAAATGTACATCCTTTTCATAGGTCAACGAGGCTTCTATCCGAGTCGTCCTGGTCGTTTAGTTCGATGATGATACGTCCAGTGCGTCCTCTGAAAAGAGTTAAAGAAATTAATGACGGACCATTAAATTAGTTTGGTTTTTGTTTAATTCACAAGAAAAAGCTGTCTTTCCCTCATCGGGGGACAGCTATATATGATATATATATACCCTAGTTTGTTGTCCTCTTCTCTCTCTCTGCCTACGGTTTACCGGGCAGTTCTGTTTGTGACGATATATATACTTTTTTTTTTCTCACGTTGAACATACGTAGCGATGCGTGTGGCACTGTGTATGCGTATGGCTTACGAATCCGTAAAACTTCTAAGCTACTTGTCCTGTAGGGGTACGGTATGCGTTTTTTTTTTTCTAACTTTACTTTTTGTTGTGCTGGGTTGTTGGCTAATGTCCATGCACCCTGCCTAGATATTTTAACGGATACCTGAAATCAGGCAAAGCAATTAAGTTCCGAGGCTGATTTCATGTATACACAGTGCGTGGCACCCTGCCTAGATATTTTAACGGCTATATTCAATCTATTTATTGATTGGATGTAGGCTTGGACTATTGAAGAAAGAGAGGACGATGAGGAAAGGAAGGAACCCCATTTTCTGTCGTTCTTATCTTTTTCAAAAGAAAGGTACGTGGATCTATGGGTTGCCACTGTGCATTGACTTTTATTATCAATGGGAGACGGATTGCTTTCGAGATTTTCACATACTGGTTCGCAAGTGTGTGTACGCTTGCGTATGCTGGAACACTTGCGATTATGTGATTTGAGGTTAGTCAAGGACACTGGCTCCGCTTCAACAACAGCGTGTTGGTTAAGCTGGATGTGCTTCTCCCCTTGAATAGAAACATAGCACGAGTTTGTTGTAAAGTGGAGTTCGTTGCTCATGCGGCCTCTGTTCTATACATGTAGGGCTCAGCCTCCGGACGAGTCGATGAAACTGCGATGAAACAGTTTGTCACAGCCCCTCGTTTGTTGTCCTCTTCTCCCTCTTCTCCTTCTTCTCCCTCGCAGCTCTGTTTGATGATATGAGATATCGTACATGATGAAATGTAGACCTGAGCCAAAACAAAGTACTAAAAAGTTAAAAACAAAACGTCGACGTTACGTCGTACATATAGATCGTTCTGCAGATGACTGTTTCACGAGGTGCTGTTTACTTTACTGCTGCATTCTGCAGATCGAGCTCTTTTCTCTTTTTTTCGATGTTTCCTTCAGCAGACTGGTAGTGTTTCTCATTCAGAGAGTGCCGGAAATTTCCTAATAGCTACTCGCCCGTGGCCAATTTGTGTGTGTGTGTGTGCGTGTGTGTGTGTGTTGTGGCCGATGTACACACGTCCCGAAGTGGTTTAGGAAGCTTCTCTCGAAGGCTTTCCAGTTCTCGTAGAGGCGTTGCTCGTAGCAAGTATCAAGGGTCCTATAGTGGTGACCCCCAGTGTCCCATAAAGGCGGCCCTCAACGCTGTTGAGAAACCTTTGTGAAGGATTTTGTCTTTCAAATCCCTGGGTGACATATGTGGGTCAGTCTGCCCTTGAATGATTATTGGCGGGGAAATTGACACGAAGGAATCTCGTCAGGGATCTGCAGGGAGATCGGATGTGATTATGGACTACGGCTCAGGACTGCAGCAGGTTGTTGAGGAGAGTGTTAGTTGGGGAACGGCGCGTAGCAGCTTTGACACTAACCTATGGCCCGCACAGAGTTTGGTACTCTTGTGGGTGAAGCCGACCAGAGTGAGAGTGCGACCAGGGATTTCAGGGGAGGGGGTTGGAATCCAGGGCAGAAGCGGAACTTCCTACGCGAGTTTGTGGGGTCCTTACAAAAATAGGAGGACGGAAGGGAGATGCCAATACTTCGGGGGGTCGATTCGAAGTTAACATCCAGAGCGGAAGAACTTGGGCCGAACTTGCGGACGGGAGAATTTCCGTCGAGCCCACAGGCATCAACGGGGGCCAGAAATTGCAACTCGGAGGAAAGCAAAATTTGCAGAGAGAAATGGAAACAACTCAAGGGAGGCAGTGTTTCAGAATTCAAACATTTGGGATAAGTCTTGACGCATTATCGTGGTCATATAAGCCATAGCAGTTTAAAAAAAAAAAAAAAAAAGCCCTAGGAGTAGGTGGTAGGAAGGTAGTGAAGATGAATTGAAAGAATTTGAAAGATGATGAAAGATTTGAGAGAAGAAAATTAGCTTTGTTTTATAAGAAGAAAAATAAAAGAAAAATAGAAGAATAGTCCGGGGACGTTCTCTGGCAGCACACTCACAGTGGGGCTGTTCTTCAGAAAGCGCATGGTGCCCTGTAGCCCCCCCCCACCGACTGACGCGTTCCAGCACCAACTGACGCTGTGAACACGAATTCCCTGATCCGCAACAATGACAGTTACGTGGGGGGGTCCATGAGATCGGAAACGGGAGGATAGTCTGCAGGGTGCAATGATCGGACTCAGTTTGACCCCGATGGCAACCATTCAAGCCACTGAAAGTCCACAATGCCCAAACAGCAAAGCAACGAGATGTATCTTTCTATATACAAAATATGTGCAAGTACCCGAACTTTCAGTACATGTCGATATGGTTTCTCTCTCTCTCTCTCTCTCTCTGCCACGAGGAGGGCAGATTAGGGCTGCGGAACCCTGTCCTGACCATGTACGTGAAGATATGGTCTCTCTCTCTCTCTCCGCTATGTGGAGGGCTGGGTTGGGCGAGTTGGGGGAAGGGATGGGGGATTTGAATTAAAGAAAAAACATGATTGATTGATTGAAAAATAAGAAAAAACAAACGTGCACGAACGTGCATGTCTGCGCATGCCATGACAACCTGCGTGCAGCAAAGAGAAAGCAGCCCACCTGCACGCCATGACAACCTGCGTGCAGCAAAGAGAAAGCAGCACACCGGCCGCACAGGGAAAAAGAAGAGGGCGGTCAGCCAGCAAGGGAAGAGCGAGGGAGTCATCTGTGTGCACAGTGGAGGCACGTGCTAGAGAGCACAGGCGAAGGAAGAGCGATTTAGAGGGGAAGAAGCACGCAGCGGGAGAGCAGCGCGTGCAAGTCTGAATAGCAGCGGGAGAGCAGCTCACACAAGTGTGGAGATCAGTGGGAGGAAGGGGAAGCAAGTGCATGTGAGAGAGTGGTGCATGTGTGCAGGTGCGAGTGTGTGAGACAAGGGTCACACGCGCTCGTGCGCGTGTGTGCATGCATGTGTATGTGAGAGAGTGCACGTGTGCAGGTGCTCGTGTGTGAGACAAGGGTCACGGCCCTCGTGTGCAATAGCGAAGGTCTAGTGTGCACCGGATCCGGGGGGCAGTTCAAAAAAAAAAAAGTAGGAAAAACAGGAGGGGATTAAGTGGAAATGCCTAAGGGCTAAGTGAGTGTGCACCCTAAAGAAGCACCCATTCAATCTTTTTTTTTGGTTACTTTTTCAAAAACTAAATAAAATATATGGGGACGTAAATCTTGAAGAGGTCTAAAAAGACTAGACACCCTGTTTTGTTTTTGTTGGCTTATTATCTTTGCAATCCGGGATGAATTGTGGTAAACCGACGTTTCAACGTGGCACCCGCGTTGAATCCCTTTGGAGACACTCAGCCGAATACAGCTGTGATGACATTCTGTTACATCTGGGGGACTGCGGTAGTCTGGTGGAATTGCTTTCATACACACTTGGGATTTCTGAAGTACAGAAATAATTTGTAATATTAAATAGACATAAAACTTGATCCCCAGTGCAGGCTTTTGCAAGGGAGGTGTCAAAGACATCCCGCACCTGTTTCTTATGGGGCCAATGGAGGGCCGAGGCGGCAGCGGGTAAGCTACCGGTGGGGGGAGACAAATGGGATAAAAGGCAGGTATGTAGAGTGCAGAGTACCGTATTCTCGGAAAGACGAGGTGGAATAGGTAGAAGAACAATGGGGGATTGTGGTAAGGGAAGACACAGGGTAATGTAATGAACCAAGGGTAGGATGCAAAAGGGGAAAGGGCAGGGGAAGAGGGGGAGGATATGAAGTTTTCGGATGATCTCTTCGGGAAAACAAGGAAAAGGAGGGGGAGGAAGGTAGGGAGCATTTCCGCCCCCTCCAAGGGTAGAGTCAGCCATGCTGATAGCCTGGCGACTACAATGACTGGGTACCAAGATGTGTCTGCCGATTATAGTCGTCTTGCCTACACCTGGCTGACCTTACCCCCAGGGGGACGAGAAGAGGAAGGAGGGGAGGGGGGGGGGGGGGGGGGGGGGGGGGGGGGGGGCGGGTGGGAGATACAAGGGACGAGTATGTCGCATGTGAGAAACTTGTTTGCTGGTAGTAAGTAACCAGACTGTTGCCTCCCAGAAAACAAGGACCTTCTTTTTTGCTTTTGCAATCCAGCGGCCTACCTGAATCGGTTAGGCACACAGGTGGCATTTAGGAGGTTGTGGGTTCAATCCTCCTGGGCAGCCTTGGTGCGAACCAGCTAAGATAGCCAGCTTGATTCCCTTGGTCAGGTCAGTAGGGTCTTTGGCCAACAGGGATGTGAGTGTGAGTGGGTTTGTGTATTAAGTCGAATCAGACTGACCACCCTTGGTAAGCCGGCCTCAAACAATGAGTGGATTCTGAAACCGGCATTGGAGAAGATCGCCCTTTGGAATGATAAACGCACATCCCTAATCAGGAGATTGCTGGTGACCAACAATGTAGTGCTAGCCACCACCTTGTGCGAATCTGCAATATATGGACATTGAGCGAGGCAGCAACAGCACTTCAAAGGCAGGTAATGGCGCTGCTATGGAGAGGGATCGACTTCGGTGGTTCAACCCAAAGATATTGTCGACCCGGCCATTCGGGTAAGTGCTCTGAGGATACAGTGGATAAGAAGATTGTTCTTCACACCACACATCGCCTAGAGCGCTCTGGCCCTCTAGCAGATCGCACGGCTGGCCCCCGAGACCACCCCGGAGGTCGACCCTGTGACCTGGTTGGAAGACCGCCTTTGGACCATCCCGAGGCACTCTACGGCACAAGGGGAG